AAGCTCTCACTTTAACTCTGATTCCTTGACATTTTGAAGAAATAAAATTGATTTCCTCAATTCACAAAGATTTGGAGATATTTTAAACTGAATTTAAAACAATAAATTTTAAATTCACAAAATTTGTGTGCTATTTTAAACTCAATATAAATTAAAAACTTTTAAAATCACTAATTTTTGTCAGTTATTTTAAAATTTGAATTTTTAACAGTTCCCTCCTCAGTCGGACACAAATCCAAATGTTGGATGTTCAAGCATCAGATGAAGGGCAGATTTTCATTCCTGGGTTCATTCTGATTCCAAAAAGATATAATATGTCTATGTAGAGCAAGTGTGGTCTGAGTTGGAGGGGTTTCAGTCACATAGGTGGACAGAAATGATTTGTCGTTTATTTAGATAGAAGATAGATAACGATTTCCTCATTGACAAATACATATTTTATTGTTGAATTCCAAGAGAAATTATATACAAAGACATGACATAAGTAAATAGACACCATTATTGTATTCAGTTTTGACATACAAAAGTCATTTACTAAAGCTGACTTATTTTTCCCACATGGACATATGTCTGGAGCACACAGTGATGATTAATGATATTGCTCTGCAAGTCTAATTTACTGAGTTTATGGTGAGGCACCCTGAGTTGACATTTAATAAAAATCTACTCGTTAGCAATTACTCAATTTACTCTAAAAAATACAAAAGAAATAACAGCATAATCATGCTCCAATGATTTATGCACCAGCAGTTTAGGAATTGTTAAGATTTTGAAAGGAGGCTTATTTTTGGTCAGTTTAAAGATGGAATGAACTGGTCTCAAAAAACATTAAAACTGAGAATTTCATTTTTCAGCTGTTGATAGCATTATAAATACAATTCATGGAGGAAAGGAAAGAACCATTACATCTTATCTAGGTCAATCTGGACCATCAGGAAACTGTTTTTACACAATGGGACAGGAAAAGAAAAAACCTATATCACCTGAAGAAGGCCAGAATGTACAACAGCTGAAATGTCATGAATATCACAATAAAGATCAGGATGATAGTCTGATCAAACTGATCTCAGAAATATAGACAGATGTTGATAAATGTTTTCTTTTCATTAATAATAAATTACAAATTTACATTATTGGGTTGGTGCATAATTATCAGGCGTTTTTAAACAATATTTTTTATGAAAAAAGAAACAATTCAAAAATAACATTTTTAAACAAGTATGATTATCAACATGCATTTTTATATCCTGAAAATAAAAATAATATTTTTATTAAAAAAAAGTCAACAAAACAGCAATTTTATTAACAAATAACTCACCTACAAAAACGCCTGACAATTATGCACTAACCCAATATATTCAGTCAGTTAATTGCCATGCATGATACACTCTTAGGCGATCATATATCTTTTGATACATAACTGATGAGGCAGATTTTTTTCCCACAGTAGGTTGCCATTTCTTTCTGCAGTAGACCAGTAGCCATCCAACTTGGTCTGTCCTGCTTCTCCCCCAACCATAGCTTGGGGGAGAAGAAGAGGATTCGTACATTTCCCAAGGATATTAGCATGTAAGTGGATTCGACTTGAATTTGAACTCATCTCTCTGATTCCTCAATCTGAGCCAATATCCATTGCTCCACCATGCATCCTTACCCAATATATTAAAAGATTAGTAATATTTAACCCAATATATTAAATATTACTAATCTTGTATGCATGTATGTGTGTTCCCCAAATACAGCTTAAAAGAGACATAATACCCCAACCAATTTAGGAGCATACTATACCTTGAAACTCTGCTGAGTGCAGTGCCAAATTACATTAAAATTAGACAAGAGGTTCTTGAGTTAAGGCTGTATTTTTTTGGCTTTTACAGCATTTTAAATAGGAAATTCAGTATTTGTTTTCAGTACATATCCTTATATCAATCCAGGTATATAAAAAAAAACTTGCATATTATATTCCAATAATTATGTGTATGAAAAATAATTAACAAGCATAATACATTATAACAACATTATTAAATAAATTTAAATATACATAACATATATTCATACAATTCACTACACTACATTAGAACATTTTTATAGATAGATATCTCAGATGCTTGGCAAGTACTTGATAGGTGAAAACGCTAAGTGGGTGTGTCATTGTAAAATGTAATCTGTATGGCTGGAAAATTGCATTACATGACTTAAGGGTAAATAAATAGATGCACGCTGGTTTGCTGCTGTTACATATTTTTAATTATATGTGAGGAAGAAACAAGTATGTATAATAAAAAATTATTGTTAATTTATTATTGCATTAGATCTAAGTAATCTTGTATAATGTGAGTAATAATAATTACTAGCAGTAGAGCCCAGCGTAGCCCGGGGTTGTAACAGTAAGAGATAGATCAAGTATCAACCATCATAAAGACTGAAAAATAAAATTGATAAAGATTATTGTTTAAGGTTGATGGACACGCATGTCTTAATTAGTTTTTTTTTTTTTTTTTACAAATTGGTCAAACCCAAACTCAAACAAAAACATTGTTTTCAATTGTTATGGATCTACTGATTGAATAGAATTTTATTATAAACAATTGTCTTGTAAATGGAATTTTTAAAGCATTCTGAATGTAAAAATAAAGAAAAAAGTGTGCAAGACAATAAGAAACACTACCTGCCAAAAAAAAAAGTGAAGTTTTGTTGAAATTGGTTGAAAAATGTAGGAAATCCGATCCCATATATAAACGAACACACACACACACACACACACACACACACACACACACACACACAAACAACCTGGGTTTTATAATAAGTTTAACTTGATATGAGTTGTCCCCCTTTCATTCTTGTGATGCCTCTTAATTGTGTTTTCAAATTGATTTCATGCAAAAACAATTGTGTTTTTTCAATATTTAGCACTGTTAGAACCACCGCAATGTAATTTTACACAGTCCTGTGAAGTTTTGTTGAAATTGGTTGAAAAATGTAGGAAATTCGATCCAATATATAAACGTACAGACACACACACAATCTGCATTTTATAATAAGTAAGATCACAATAACTTGTATTGCAAATACAAATAGAAATATGTGTAATTAATAATAAAATTTATAATAATGTTACATCATCATTTTGTCTCATGAACTGTTTTTAAACGGAAATCAAAGGGTTTATAGATGGTCTAGTTATAACTATAACAGAGGCATAAAAATAAAGCTTTAGACTCACCCAAGTTTATTTACATTGTTCGGATTGTTGTCCTCATATTTATTGTCATATTCACAATGTTTCGACCATTGTACGCTTTGGCCTTCTTCAGGTGATGTATCCTCATGGACACATGGCCCAGTGGATAAAAGTGTTGGTTGGATCCTATGACTTAGCCCAAGAGATTATGAGTTCAATATGTGGTTACTGCAGTGGTGAACAAAAAAAAAATGGAGAATTAAGTTAAAGGGAGATAACTGAGACATCAGGAAGAGGCATGGCACGTAGAACTAGAACAATCTACCCCCAGTGGACGAAATAAAAGGTTCAATTCGAAATTCCAATCACCTGAAGAAGGCCGGAGCGTACAACAGCTGAAACGTCGTGAATATGGCAATAAGGATGAGAACAACAGTCCGGACAATGTAAATTATGTAAATAATTATAATCTGTCTTCTCAGAAATATAGCCAGAAGTCACCCTAGTTTTTCTCAAATTTGGTATCAATGGGAATATAACAAATTTTCGTCTTATCTTCTGTTTCTGTCAATGTCACTAACTTTTCACACTTTGATTTCCTCTTCCAAGTTCCTCCTTTGTGATGACTCATGTCTGCATGAATCTGATGACTATAAAAATGAATCCCTGCTCCCTGTCTTGATTCTTCTTTTATAACCACCACCCTTGCCCGCAATCCCTCACTGCTGGATGGGTGTAGTTGTAACCTCCCATGCTACACCCGTTTCTCAATTCATTCACCTTGTCTTCCAGTTCCCAATAGGAAAGATTCATTTTTTTCTTTTTCAAATTACAAAGAAAATAGGAACTACAAGGAAACTTATACTAACAATCAGAAACAGACAGCTGAAATTTCTGTGACACATATTGAGGAAAGTGGGCCTAGAGAATTTAACACTCACAAGAAATGCTGAAGACAAGTGGAACAAGGAGAAACTGCTAATAATCTACTTTACAAGTTTGTATGAAAGGGTAGCAGAACAGAGACAAAGAGGCATATTAAGAGGTTCAAATTTACTTTGAGCCACAAGAGACAGAACGTTGTGGATAACCATGATTGCTCATGTTCTGTGCAGATAAAAGAAGATGATTTAGTTTTTGGAGAATCCCATTATTCTATTCTTAGCTTATGCACCTCAGCAAAAGACAAAAAAAAATGTTGATGCTAAAAGTATTAAAAAGTGAACAGAAGTTGAAAAGAAAAGACATTGTTCATATAATTTAGAGTGGCTATAATTGTATAAAAAGTGTCTGAAAATTAGATTGGCCAAAAAAAAAAAAGAGAAAAAAAGAATTATAGAAAAAGAAAATTAAGAAAAGAACAAAGAAACTGAATGAAACAAATATATTGATTGATGGATTTGTTTTTTATGGCTTATCAAACTTTTGCAGATTATTTAAAGCCAGAAAATATGCTAAGATTGTAAGAATTATTTTTTTTGAGATAATAATGATTTAGTGACACATCATACTAATTAACCCGTAGCTGGAGGGAGAAGAGGTGGATTCCTACTTTTTCCAAATTTATATGCCTGTAAGTGAATATAAGGAACACAACTGGAATTCTAACTCAGTTCTCCAATTTTCAGTTTTGACCCATTATCCATTACACTACACACATATCCAAGCTTGCAACACCTAATATTCTCAAATGGTCACCCATCTAGGTAATGACCAGTTTAAGCATTGTTTAACTTTGGTGATTGTATGAAAACCAGTATTTTAATGTGATATGGCCATAAGTCCATGAAACAAATATAGTATAAAAGGAAGATTGTTAAAAGAAGATGAAAACAATAAAGATAGAAGGAATAAAGAGAGGGAGAAGGAAGAAGAAAGAAAGAAAATAATGAGGAAAAAAAAAGAAGAAGAAAAAGAGAAGAAAGGCTAAAGAAAGAAAGGAATAATGAAAGAGAGGAGAAAAGGCAAAAAGAATAAAAAAAGAAGATAAAGAAAAAGAAAGGAGACAGAAAGAGAAGATGAAAGAAAAGAATATTGAGAAAAAGAAAGGAGACAGAAAGAGAAGAAGAAAGAAAAGAATATTGAGAAAAAGAAAGGAGACAGAAAGAGAAGAAGAAAGAAAAGAATATTGAGAAAAAGAAAGGAGACAGAAAGAGAAGATGAAAGAAAAGTATGATGAGAAAAAGAAAGAAAATAAAAGAACAGTAATGCAAAAAATAAAAAGATAAAATAAAAGTATTTGCCTATTTTCTGTCAGATTGAGGAATTGGAGAGCCTAGTTCGAATTCCAGTCGAATCCATTACATTCACTTACATGCCAATACCCTTGGGAAAGGTATGAATCCTCTTCTTCTCCCCCACCTGCTATGGATAAGTAGCAGTACAAACCGAGTTCTGTAGCCTTGGATGGCAACTAGTCTACTGCAGAAGGAAATGGCAACCTACTGCAGGAAAAACTCTGCCTTGAAAAGATACATAATTGCCTAAGTGTGTATCATGCATGGCACATAACTGAATGTCTGTAACTTGTAATGTAGCCAGTGCAAGGGAGATAATTAAATTTCTCTCACTAGCAATACCAGATGGCAGTATCTTTGTTAGAACAATGACAGATTGTTTGAATATGTTTACATGGGAAACAAAAAAGGACTGGCTCTGTGAAAGAGGCCATAACAATAAGAACTGGAAAGGACATATTTAATGACTCATATGTGAAAAACTAAGGACTTAAAATAATATTAATTTAATAGTTATTGTCATTTTTTATGGCATTGGTAAACTAGTTTTCAAATAATAAATAAAATGTCTAAACAATATAATTTATCTTTTGTTTTTGTTTCATTATAATTTATAACTTCTTTATTTGATATATTATTCAGTCTTAAGGATAAAAAGAACAATTCAACCTCTGACCTTATTTTTTTTGATAATAAATAAAAAAAAATGTAGAAAGAAAGATAAAGTTGGACCAGAAATAATAATTTTTTTTCAATTATTTTTTTTCATATTTCTATAGATTAAGTACTCAAAATAACGAATATATATAAAAAAAAAATTTCTATTAAATTTTATAAAGATTGATAACAGTGGGGGTGCGAGTAGTTTCTTATATAAATTAATTGTAAAATTATCTTCCTATAGAAACAAAACAAAACATGCTAATACGACAAAGATTTTTTGAAATTCATAAGCTGGAGTTCTTTTTTCATATATTACTATTGATTAAGCACTCCAGATTACAAATTAATTTTTTTTTATTTCTCTACATCTTAAGAAATGACATGGCATAATCATATTTTTTTTAGCTTCCATAGGGAGATCAGTAAACTGAACCCCGCCCCTTATCAACTTTTATAAAATTTAATAAAAAATTTTTAAAAATATTCATGATCTGGAGTAAAATGAAAAAATAAACGTTTAAAAAAAATTATTATTTCTGCTTAAATATGGTTCTACAGAAGGATACTGAGAATACTATGGACTGAACATGTGGGCAATGACAAAGTTTTAGGAAAAATGGAAACAAAAAGTACACTTATAATTAACATCAAAAAGAGAAAGTTGGGCAATTGCCACTGTGACCAGAAACATCAAAGAAAGAGTTGAAATTTCTAGAGCATATAATAAGGAAAGAGGACTTAGAAAACTGGACACTCACAAGATATATTGAAGGCAAGAGAGATAGACAAAAACATTGCATGACATATCTAACAAGCTTGTGTACATGGATGGCAGAACAGTGCTTAGGAGAGAAAGCAAAAAATAAAATTTACTAATAGCTCCAAAGGACAGGAAATTGTGGAGAGCCATGATCACCAATGCCATGAAAAAACATGACACATAGAAGAAGTGCCTATAGTGCAACTCCACTGAAACAAATTATATTTTCTATAATTTTAATAAGCATTATTGTTTACTAAACTTAGCATACAACCACAGATATGAGACATCCAGTGAAGACTGAAATTACTTCTAAATAGATTTTTTTTAATACTAATATTCATCCAATACAAGACTTGAGAGCCACTCAAAGTAGAGATTACTTTTAAAATGGTAATGATGAATGAGGTGTGTTATATAAGAGAGAGAAGATCGTAGGAAGAGAAGTTTATAAAGATAAGAAGAATCGATAGTGATTGACCCATGACTTGAAGAGTTTAAGATTGCAGTGTTCAGGAAAGCATCCACGTGGGAGTCTGTTCCACAAAGTGGTAGTTCTTGGGACAAAGCTATCTGAGTGGAACTTTCTCCTTATATTTGGAATACAGAGGTAATAAGGCTGAATCGACTTGTAATGTTGTATCTGTGGGAAAGAGGTTACAGAGTGGAGAATAATGGTTTTAGTGATACAAGTCTTACTAATTAACCTATAGCTGGGGAGAAGAGGTGGATTCCTACCTTTCCCAAGGGTAATGGCATGTTAGTGAATATAATGATCCCAATGGGAGTTGGAACTCAGTTCTCCAATTAACAATTCCAAGCCATTATCCATTACATCACTTGTACATCCAAACTTACAGCATCTGGTATTCTCATCTAGGTAGTGACCAGGCTCGATATTGCTTAACCTCAGTGATCGTATGGGAACTGGTGTTGTAATATGATGTGACTGTAAGCCAACTTTATCAGGACAGAAAAGTAAGAATTGAGAACTGGTGATAGTATCAATGATGGATTTGCAAATAGTAAAGCTATTTATTTTTTTTTACTAATATTGATTTAATTTTTTAAAAGTTAAGGAATTATTGATGGAAATTTTATAGAAATAGTGTAAAATTTGTGATTATAGGTTTATATATTTTGAGAACTATTTTATCCAAAAAAGATATGCAAAGAAAAATATTTTTTTAAAAAAAAGGTTTAAAGAGAATTTAAAAAAAATGATTTTTTGCTTTCCTTTGCATTTTGTTTCAAGAAATATTTTTGAATTTTATAATATTAAATTTTATTGTCACTTAGCAAAATGTAGTAAAATGATTTTTTGTTATATTTATTAAATAACAATGTTTTAATAAAATAAAATATATCAAATAATAATGAATAAATATTGAATAAATATTAATAAATATATTTTAATATTTAATATAAATTAAATAATATTTTAATATAATAATATAAATAATATTTATATTTTAATATTTTAATATTTATAAATATTGAATTAAAAAATATTGAATAATAATTTATAAATATTATTTATTATTAATAAACAATATTTTATTAAATTGAAACATAGTTGTAATTTTTTGCCCACTGTACTTAAAACGAAAGAATTTATTCGGTCGAACTGAGAATGCTTAAAACGAACAGAAATCTATGAATAAACGAATAGCAGAATAACAGAATGTCGTTTTGTGAACGCGCTAGTTTAACTCCGAATGTGCCATAAACATTTTTGTGGTTCCGGGCTAGCAAGGAATGAGAAGCGTGTGATGCCGTCGTTTAAGCGGGTTTTGCGACCACCACCACCTCCGCTTATTGTCCAAGAAGAGGACGATCTGGCTGGGAAGTTCTTGCATCCCCAGAGCTTCCCTGGCCTTTTTTTGAAAGTCTAGGCGGTCGGTTGGTCGGTCCTTTTGGGGTGGGTATACGTCGTGGTCCGTACCGTGGGTCGGTCGGTTGTGTGCGCTTTTCTCTACCTTTTTCCGCCGTCCGTGGTCCGTGGTCGCCACTGGGAAAAGAGGAAGGGATGTTGACACAATGGGTAAACTGAAGTGTTTCGAGATCTACCTGGACAGCAACAAGTCTGTCTACCATCCCGGGGAAAGGGTCACGGGCCAGGTGATTGTCGAACTCAAGGGTGATATGAAAATGCGATCCCTTCGTGTCTTTATGCGGGGTGTGGCGAAGGTCCACTGGACTGAGTCCCGAAGCACTGGGAGCAGACTTGGATCCTATACGGAACACTACAATGCCGAGGTAGAATATTTCTTCAAGAGGCAGGTTCTCTTTGGTGGAGGTAAAGTATTCATCATTAACATTATTTTATTTACTATTCTCTTTCTTTTTGCTTTTTTTTTTATTTGTTTAATATTTATTGTTTTTGTCTGCCATGTTTTTTAAACTACTATTTTTTTTTTAGTCTCTTCTCATCAACTCTACCCTATTTCTTGTTTTTCTTTATTTTAAATGTTTTTTAAAGACATTTTTATTTATTTATCTTTCGTGTACATCTACAATATTTTTAACAGTTGATAAATAAATAAATTATTTCTTAAACACCTGATAATTTATTGGGGATAGGTTCAAATGCTACCAGTGAATCTGGAATTGATTTTTTTTTTTTTTTTTCTCGAAAATGTTATTTTTTAGTTCTATTTTTAAAGAAATGTTTACCATCAGTTGCTACTTTATTTTATTAAAAGAAATTACGAATTTCCAGTTATTTATTAGAACATTCTGGGCGGTATTTTTAACCCTGTTTTTAGTAGAATGATATACGTAAAAAAAAAAGACATCGGTCAACATTAAATACACTAAACAAAATTGGAGCTTAAAAAAATTTGTACCGTTTTAAAATGTCTCGAAACCTGAAAATGTCATTTCAACATGATATAGAAACAGATTTATATTTTTCAATACGAAACATTAAGTGGAATAATTCTTCCTTCTTTAAAAGACAGATTCTCTTTGACAGAGAGATTCGTATCATCATCATGATAGTTTTTTTTTTTAATTCTTTACCATTATTTCTTAAATTGAAACAAAAATCTCATCTTCGAAATTTTTGTTTTATCTTTTTTTTATTTTTAAATATTTTAGCTTCTGTAGAAAAAAAATACCCCTTCCTTATTTTTTTAAAAAACTGACTGATTTAAATAAATACAAATCAATTAAAGATAATCAACAAAGTAATTAGGAAGCACTGTTGCATATTGTTTACAAACTTGGGTTATTTTTAACAAGGCGTTTTTTTTGTTTTGTTTTTTTTTTTTTGTAGAAAGCAATAATAATTAAAATTAAAAATTATCTTTTTAATTTTTTTCTATATGATCTCAAAACAAAATTTTAGTTTTAATTACCCTTTGTAACGAGTTAGTTTTAATCGAGAAAAAAAACCCCAAAAAACGACTACATTTTAAAATTAATTTAATTTTTACTTTCTGTACGATCTGAAGAGATACTCTTTTTAGTTTATGTCTCTTCATGCTACGGATGACCAGTAGGGTTTATTATTTTAATACTTAATTATTATTGTTTTTGTAAAGTGTAAGAAACCTTGCATATTATTGCAAGGTTTCTACTTTGGAAATCAATTACAGTTATTCATGACTAAATAAAAACAATAATAAACATCGTCATCACTTTACTTTGTCTTTCATTGTTTGCAAACAAAACAAATATCGTTTGTTTGAATAACGACCTGAGGAATTTTAAATCTAATCATCTTCCTTATTAACAATTTATTTTAGTTTTTCTTTAGTGGTCAAACAAAAAAAAATATCGTATTGTCACTATTGTGGCTTTTTTCGATATTTTTTTAAAAAAAAAGCATACGAGATTGTGCGCGTGTTTCTTTTTCGGAATTAAATGGTGTCATGTCATTTAGGGTTTTCCATAACACGGAAAAATTCAATTTTTTAATCACTTATTGAAGACTAAAAAATACTAAACAAAATAAACATTAAAATTTTGAAATGATCTAAAAATCTCTTAGTAATACTATTTTTTTTTCACCACTACTAGATATTTCTGTAGTGTTTTTTTGTCTGCTTTATTTATTTATTTTTCTTCAAGTTATAATTCAAATTGTTTAAGCCTTTTTTTTCCAGGAATATTTTTCTTAATTATCCTTTTTTTTTTTCTTTTTTTTTTTTAACTTTTCTAATCAATAGTCATCTTCACTTGTTTAGTAGTGGTTGTAATCACTCAGTCTTTTAGTAATATCGATAGTGATTATTTTCTAGACTACTATTGTTTTTTTTTTGTGTATTACTATTATTATTACATAATTTATTTTATTACTTTTTTTTGGACTTAAGAATGTTGCACTTCCTGGGGGTGAGAATGATGCTGTTGCTTTCTTCTTCTTTCTCATGCATTCCAGAAATGCTTTTTTTTTTCATGTGAATGCTGAAACAAACAAACAGCTAAAAATCATACCTACCCACTACTAACTAACCGAACGACAAAACAAGAACGGAACCTAGTGATACCAAGATAATCATAATATCTATCTCTACAAAGACTTAATTATTATTATTATTATTTTGCTTCACTTCACTTCGTATAAAAACTAAAGCCAATTTTTGTTGAATAATTAAACAAGAAAATGAATATAAAATATTTGCAACAAAAGTGCAAAATAAAACAATAAAAAAAACTAAAAAGTCTCAACAAATACCACCTGTATTGATACCTTTTTTAAAAATAAAATCTTAGTTAGAAATGGAATTATTACGAAATATGTGATCGCGTGAGCATACAATGCGCTCTATAATCAAGAAAAACATTTACTCCTCCATGTTTATTAAGTTTTTATTCGTTTTAAAATTTGATTTAATAGGAATCTTTCAGATTATAAAACAAACTTACTATGTGGTATTAAAAAATACATTCACAATATGAAGCCCGGTAAAAAAAAAACAAACAATAAATGATGTCTTTAAGTCTTTTAGAATATGGCCGCGCACTGTCTTTCGTCTTCTTACAAGTGAACCACTTTCTTTGACTCTAAAACTGCTTAAATCAAAAGTTGTTTTAAAATTAAGAGTGCATATTTTTGCTTTCTTTTTTTCTTTTTCTTTGTAGCTAACAGCTAACTTCTTTTTTCTTCTTAATTCCACTCAACTTAAAAATTGTTTTGGTGTATAGTTTTATAAATTAAAACCTTTGAAAAGTTTATTTTTTTCTGGTGTCATCATCCTCAGGTGTCTGTAAATTCCTATTCCTTTCTAAGAAAATGTGATAGTATCGATTCGAGATCGAATTCCGGAGTGGATACGTTTTTTTTTTTTTTTTTTTTTTCGATATATACTTTCACTTGTTTTCTAACTGGTCATAAACCTCGAACAATTTAAATCTTATTTAATTTAAACAAAATATTAAAACAAAAAATATTCTCATTGAAGCATTTGCTTAGCCAAAAAACTTTAAAACAGTTATTTTTACGAAAGAAACTGTTTCCATTTCAATCTTTCTTTTGTTAAAAATTAGAACACAATTAGTTTATCACGTAAATAAAAAAATTGTAAAATAAAAAATGAAAGGTTTAAATAAAAATTAGAATATTATAAAAATCTTCTAGTTTAACTTTTAATATTTTTTTAAATTCTACATCGTTATCTTTCTAACGATTAATAATATTTTCTTACTTAATAAAATAACATTAATTAAAATTTTTTTATCTCCACTATTTTTATGTATTTAATTTTAAATATTAATTTTACAGAATTATTAAAAATGAAGCAAGTTTTTTTTTCTAATTTTTTAATTTTTTAGTACTAAAATTACTAGTTAAAAATTACAGTTACACACATAAATTTTAAAAATAAATTCTTTTTCATTTTTAAAAATTCAAGAATCTTTCCTTTCATATTGCTGACAAACTCCGGCAAATTGGTTTTCTCTGGGGTTGTTTGTCAAAAATTGCATTTAAAATATTTCCGGCTAATTAATATTTCTTCATTTTTAAATCAAAACAAAATAAATATTTTCCAGTTTATCATTATTTTACGTGCCATATTCCCTAAGGAACTGCCATTATTGTTCATATTTTTAAAAAAGCCAAGGAAACCCTTACTGAAAAATAAAATGTATTTTAAAAGGTTTTACTTTTAACTTTTTAATGTCAGACAAAAAAAGATTTAAAATCTATCGTTGGGTTTGGTCGTCACGCTTGTATAGATTTTTAGAGCAATAACAGGAAAAGCTTTATTTTTTTGTTAGTTACACTGATTTATTTGGTTGCTCTCTAAAGTCTTATTTGTTAGTGACAACGTTTCGGCCGTTGTACATACCGATCTTCTTCAGGTGTCTGTCGTATTCTCGGAAATTACTTCTTTTTGTTGGCAATTTCATAAGAATATCGTACAAAACAAGTAAAATATGTGAATTGTTTGTTAAATTATTGTGAAATAAATGGAGTAAAAACAGCAAAAAAGTAAAGAAAATAGATATCCCTTTTATTTCGTTTCCTCTTTGACGGATCACGTCTTTAGAATTTAGTAATACAAGATTTAATTTAAATTACAAGACTAAAAAAAATTGGTTATTTTTTTTTAACCCTAAAAAATTGACAGTCTAGATGACAATTACTTTGAATAAATAAATAATAATTCACTTCTGTTTTTTTACAATTTCTTTCATACTGAATTTCGTGCTATCAACAATGAATTTATTAAAATAATTTCCGTATTAAATTTTTAATTCTGCTATATCAGTAAAAGTAGACAAACAAATAGTTTCTCTGTTAAATAACTGTTGCTCTAAGGATCTAAAATTTAAAATAACCATGAAACAACAATCCTTTTTTCTAGGGGATTATTTTTTAGACTGTATGGAGAACAAACTTTCAATAAAGTAGGAAAGATAGATAAGGGAAGTGTTTAACAATAGCCTATGTGTGTGGTGAAAATTTAGGGAAAGGAAAATAAAATGCTAAATAAATAGACATGTTTGTACAAAGCAATCCTTTTTCAATAGAATACAAAGACAGTAGTTAGTAGTAGTAGTTGCAAGAAACACGAATCGTGAAAGAAGGAAGGATCAACATTCAACATCGTATATGCTTTCGTTTTCTTCATTTAAATTTTAATTCTGAAGACTTGTAACAAAACAGTATTTACAACAGCTTAGAAAAATACTGATTTGTTTTTGTTTTTTTTTAAAGTGTAGTAAATACTTTTACGATTGAATTTAAAGAAAAAAAAAAAAAAAGAAATTCTCCATAGTTCCTTCCCTACTAAATCTAAACTTAAAATTTATTTTATTGAGCCAATATTTGACCAGCCAACAATA